ATAACCACAACAGTGGCAGGAGGGTAGGGGAGGAGCTAAGGAAGCTGCAGCAGTTGGTGTGTGCTCTTCCTTTCATTCCATTCAGGAACAGCATACACCAACTGCTGCAGCTTCCTTAGCCTCACGAAGGGTTTTTGAACCCGAAAGCTTGCTTAATAACTATTCTCCAACCATTTGGGTTGGTCTAATAAAAGATATCAAATTCACCCGAGGAACCTTGTCTGTTGTGTGAGGTAGAAGACGACTTGCAAATGAATAGATAAGGTGAGATTCTTTCCTTAACGGCATGTCAAGATGATTGGATTTTTTGTAGAACAGGTCATCTGAAAGCCAAATTATCAGTTTGGATTTTCAGAAGACCTGATCACAGAAATATTTATGTTAATTCTCATTGCCTGAAATGTAAAGTAAAATACTATTACCATTTCACTACTAAAAATTGCATTAGGAAAAATATGTTTCACAGCTAAACACATGTGGAATAAAATCATTCAAAACAATTAAATTAATATTTAATAATTCAAATTAAAAATAATTAAATCCAGTTAAACTGCTTTGAAGTATTAAAAGAACTTTCAACTCCTGAATGAGATTCATAAATACCAAGATCTGCTCTACAGCAGTGAAGCATTTGCTTACAGCCTCTGAATCTCTAACAAAACCTCTTTAAGGATCAGATTCTCAGTTAATTACACTTTGAACTGAAAACAAAAGAAGTACTTCAGATGTAGATCAGTGCAACATACATTGGAGCCTGGATATAAAAAAATACCTGGGATGTGCCTCAGCACAGCTGATCCCCTTCACTGGGCAAAATATGTCTCACACTGTCCACACATTAATCCTGAGGGACAATGGACGTGTTCCCCACTTGCAGAGACATACCCCAGAGCAATCTCCAGGACATGTCTCTGTAGACAGGGAAAGCTGGGTTTCCCCCTGGGCCTGTCTCTGTACTAGGTGAAAGCCATGCAGGTGCTCCCAGGCTACAGGGGCCTGATCCTGCATGGGAATGCCTGGGGTGCTCAGGATTGGGCCACTCAAACCCCAGGAGCACCTGCTTGGGTGGCTGGAGACAGCTCCAGGCTGCCTGTACTCTCACACCATAAAGCTAACAGACATCTCCTGCAATATATGCTGCATATACACATTCAAATTATGTGGGACAGTTCTTCCAGGTTTGGTCTCCTGGTAGAAAAGCTTGCCCAGAGCCACTTGTATTGATACTTGAATGCTGAGATCTGACAAGTGGGGAGTTTGCAGGGCTGACAGTAAGGCAGAGTGGACCTCTGTGCACACATCTCAGTTTGCTCTGCAGACTCCCTTGCAATAACAGAGCTAAACCCTTGCCTGATTCCAGCTGCCAGGAAACTGGGTATACCCCACTACAAAGATGGTACAACATGAGAGGAAGCAAGAGCTAAAGTCATTCTTGTGGGAAGAGTATTGGAAATTGAGTGACTAACCTAGGGCTCCTGTTACTTTCAGGGGGGAAACATTCTGGATGAAACTCCAGGTGAGGGGAGACTGCACATAAAGGGCTGTAGGAGAGCTGGCCACTAGGGATTTATAGGCTATAGGCTATGAGACAGGATTTGGGTGGGCAGCAAGAAGCCTATCAGAGTGTTGGTGATTTCTCAGTCGTACTATAAGAGTCCTGCACAAGAGGCAAAGTACTGCTACAACAGCTAGATCAGCCACTGCAGGCTACAGACCTATCAGCAAGCTTAATTAGAGAACACCTGTAGCCAGCTCAAGGAAGTCACCTAACCAGAAAGGGACAGGGCCTGGGGACATAAACATAGGGCTTGAGCCAAGGCAGTCACTCTAGCCCTGGAGGCAAAAAGGGAAAGATCCCTGCTGCGAGATGGCTGTTGCTGGATGACTGACTGAGACCCCACCAAGCCTGAGAACAGCAAGCAAGGAGCTGAGGTCTAGTAGGGGACTGAAGCCCAGAATGAACAGAGATGTGGGGTAGACAGCCAGGGGGCTTAGATTTAAGTTATAGCCAGAGTGCTAAGTTTGTGTTTGAATTTTAGTTTACTGCACCCTAATACAAGTGCAAGTGTGACAGTGATGCTTTACTGCGAAGCTAATTGGTCTACTCCACAGTAAAGCGCATGTGCAGGTGCACCCAGTAAAAGTGAGGATCTCAACAGATGGGTATCTATGTAAAATAGTATGTACTATATAATATGTTGTATGCATACACATGTACAACAGATACACAAAATTCTAATTCCTCTTAAGATTTCTTTTTTGCTGTTATGTTGTACCTTTGCATCTTAAGTGATATACTGTTACCCAAATTTAAAAGAGCAGTAGGAGCATCACAACTATTCTAAATTGCATTTCATAGGTTGCATTTATCACCTACACAAATAAAGGAAAGGAAAAAAAGATCAAGTATCTACCTGCAACCATGTCACCATTTGGTCCATGCCACTGGAATATTGGATCAATCAGTTCTGAAACCCGTAGCCGATTTGTCACACACAAAATACGGGGACTGTCATGATTCAACTTGACATAGACTTTGACTGAAAATACAATATATGATCATCAGTAGCAAATATTTCTTAGGCAACATAAAATGTCTGTACTACAAAAATAAGCTAATAAAGTGCAGTCTTTTTTTTAAGCATAACCTCAGAGGGATTCTGATTTTGGGGTTGCCCTACAGTCTCCATCACCAAAAAAAGAAATACTAAAGACATGCTCTTGCCTTTAGAAGTTTGGGGATTTTTTTTTCTCGTTTTACTAAATATTCTTTTCAATTATAACCTCTCAATTTCTTCTGTTTACACCATGCTTTTATTTTCTGTAAGAACTGCAGCATATTTCACCATGCTGTCCTTGGAAGAATGGAATGTATCTTGAAATTCATCCAAGAGGGTCTCTCTTGCAGGATTCCCCAGTGTTTTGTTTTGTCTCCTTTATGGTTCAACATATAAGTCACTGCGGAGGACAGCGAGCTGGTCCACAGCTTCCAAGGGGGCTGCAGGGCCAGGTAGATGACCAGCTGGTCCTGTTTGTAACCAGCTGGGCTGTTGGGAGCAGGGGAAGGTTAAACTCTCTAGGTAGGGGGAGCCTCCCCTGGAGGGGAACCTTGCTAACCCCAACTGGGTTGCAAGTTCCCTGTAAAATAATGGCATGATTGGGTTTGGTCTCTGATTTTAACAATTGCATATCCTGCTATGCATGTGGCATGGCAGTATGTGCAATTTTGGAGATAAGATCCTATCACTACATTATTTTAAGATATGCCAGAGGCCTCAAAAACAACTCCTAACCTGTTTGTGAGGCAAAATAGTGTAGCTTTTTGCTTAGTGGAGCTCAAGACAGTGCCCATCAGTTATTACAATCTCACTCAATAGAATCAGCCACCTACTATTAGAATCAAAACCCCAGAACCAAATGCCAAAAGCATTGTATAATATGCTTTTTCAGCTGTGTAACCCTAACCATAACCCTGCCCTGTTACTAGGGGTGGTGGGGAGTCTAAGCAGCCCCACACCTGGAAGGACTTGTGAAAGCTAAGGAACCATGTCCTGGGATGTAGTAAGTCTCCCCACAAGGGAGCCTGCACAGGTGTGGCGAGTGAGAGAGAGTTAGTCACGTGGGCCCACAAGTGGAAGGATAAAAGATGCTGAAAGCAGCGTCAAGGGGCTGCACCTAGCTGGAGCAGGTTGCCTGTAGCTGCCATGGGTTAAGCAGCCACTGGGCGGGCCAAAGGGAGGAGAGCAGGGCTCTCTTCTGTTCATTTATTTGTTTGTTTGTTTGCTTGCTTGGTTTGTTTTGTTTGCACAAGCCAGCAGGCTCTACAAAACCTCTGAAAGATAAGAGACAACCAGAAGTTGAAGCCTGGGAGAGCTCCTGGAAGACAGCTAAGTGATAGTTTATTTGTTTAACTTCCTTTGTTTGTTTTCCTTTGCTGACAAGCCTGGGGTGGCCTGGCTGCAGCAGAAGCAATTGCCAAGGACCTACTGTTCAGGGCCCAAGCCAGCAGCAGAAATTAAATTGGTCAGTTCTATCAGCTTGACCAACATACCCTGCTGCGGTCTGCCCAGAATCTCCCACAGCAGCTTACAAACTGCTTATTAGCATGTCTATTTTAACAGCATATGCTTTACACAGAAATAGCTGCTTGTTAGAATCGAAGCCTTAAGATCCTTCAACATTGGCAGTGAAGAATTACTTTAACATTGATCTAAACAAAATGCCATATGCTTTCTGTGAAAAACAGGAAAGATGGACTTCATGTTTTAATTAAAAATAATGGCAGACATTTCTCCCCCACCAAATACAGAGTTCATATTGAGTTTTAAAGTTAGGCCCTTTCTAGCAAGGTGCATCTCCAGACTGTATTTTATAACATGTATTAAGTTAAAGCCCAACTGCTCCATGGAGGTAATGCAATCAGGAGAGGACTCCAGTGCAGTGCAGAGGTGGGGGCCTGATAAAGCTGTCTGTCTGGCTCCTAGCCTCCTTACTAAACCAGAGCATTGAACCGGCAAGGCTCCAGTGTGGTAAGAAGGCTGTGAGCCAGATAAACAGTTGTTTGTGGGGTTCCCACTCAACCCCCCACTGCAATGGAGATTTGCTGGTTCAAGGCTTCGGTGTTGCATGGGGGCTGGGGCAGGCTCTCATGCTGTGCTATGCTGGTGTTGCTTCCAGACCTGACACTGCACCAGAGCCTGGAACTTGAGAAGTTCCAAGGCTGAGACTGAGAATCAGCCCTGGGATATTACCAGATGTGGTTCAAGACCCTGTGTAGTACGACAATCTATATTTAGATCCTAGTAAACATTACTGTACAACTGATCAGAAAAGGTGAATTAATGCTTGCTTACTGGGATCTAAATATAACATGTGCTAAGTATAATATGTAACAAGGAACATCTCTGTGGCTCACTTGCTATATTCCTATTCCACAGATTAACATGTGTCACTGTTACTACTCATGGCATCATTAACACTTGAATCATACCAGGGCCCAAAACTTCAAAGTGGCCCAAACACCATGCAACTGGCTTTTCTTTATTCTTCTCAGGTTTGTCTCTAACTAGACATTCTGTCCAAAACCTGAAATACTTTCCCAACAAAAGTAATTAATGAAATTTTTCTGAAACTAAAATTGTTTGTAACACACACTTACATAATCACATAATTTTAAATAATTCCCAACCAGCTGTTTTTTCTGATCTTCAGCCCATAAACTATTCTGAAAAAATCCCCAATGCTGACTCCCTCTAGACCAGTCTGGATTATAGAAGTGCTTTGCAAAGAGGTGTGACTATCTTATTACAGCTGGATGAAGGATTTTGTTTCTGGCTCCTTTGGGCCCTTGACAGACATTCACTTAAAGGCACAATGGGATTGGGAATCAGATCCCATACTCGCACCAGCCATGCATGTGTTGCATGGTAGGTATAAGTGCTAGGATTGGAGAACATATCCCAATCACACCAGTTCTGCCAGTGTACAGGGAGCTTGGGCTCACAATCCCAGGCTCCCCCTGCACCAGCAGGTTGGGTACCTGACAATCAGCTGATTGTCAGCTAGCTCCAGGGACTGTGGGGCCATTCCAGCCCATCTGTAGTCCCCAGAGCTGGCCTAGAGTCAGCTGATTGTCAGACTGGGACTGCCTCCGGGCTTGAGCACCACAGCCATCCCAATTTCCCATCCACTGGCAGGGACCACCCTAGGATTCAAACTGTGGGGTGGTCCCTGCTGGCTGATAAGCAGCTGATCAGGACAGCCCAGGGTTCAAGCCAAAGGTCCACCTCAATCTGACACTAGCTGGCGGGGATACCCTTGGGGCTTGAGTCCCACATCCATCCCCACCAGCTGATCAGGACTAGCCTTGAGCTTGAGCTCTGAAGTAGTACCTGCATGGCATGCCATATGTTCAAATTATGGTGCCATACAAACCAGCCACAAAGATATTGTGTGTAATATATATTCAAGTAATACCTTTGTGGCTTGTTTGTGATTTTATTTTATCTTACTTTTATGGCACTAAAAATTTTGTGTATATGTGGCCAGTTGCTATTTCTAGTGCAATTAACACCTTTATTATGCCAGAAACACAAAATGTGCCAGGGGCCTAACTTTTAGTCATACATATATATAATTGTTATTATAAGAATATCCAACAATATTTAATTTTAAAATATGTTATAAATAGACTTGGTAATGACTGTGCTGTTAGCTAATCACAGTTGGGGGCGGGGCATTGATGGGGAAATTGTGGAGGTGAATTGCATTAGGTGTATTCCATTACAATTTGTGGTGAATTCCACTATTCCTATAATTTATTTGTATAAACCTAAGTTAAGATGGGGTGATCAGTATGAAATTGGTGGTAGACAGTTGCTAACATAAGTACTACACAACACCAAGGAATAGGCTGGATCCTTTAGCTAGCATATTTTAGATTTTTTTCAACATTTGGTTTATTACATGGTAATGGAAATCAATAACTATATTTTAGAGTTATCTGGATGTCACTGAAACGCACATGTAATGTTAATTATTTTAACAAAAATTTTGTTGGAATATAACAGACACTGAAGTCCAAATGCCACATGTATAGAAAAAGTTTGATGTTTCATGTTCTGTAACTTCAGAGAGAGCAGTTTTTCAAAGCTGTTGCAGGACACTGGGTATCTGATATACCAATTTTTCTCTTGAAGAAAGACCCTTGTAGTTAAATTATGACTGGTTCTGCATAGGTTCAACAACCTTGCTCCCATTATCTCTGCATGGACACTAGGCCTATACTTTAAACAGTTGCAGCTGGCTCTTTGGATGGGTTATATGAATCACAGCAACAGTGTAATGCTACCTACAGAACTAGGTTATCCAAAAGATAGGGGCAGAGCATTGTAAGAATATGACCTTCAAACTATTTTTGTAATAATCCACCCAGCTGGCCTAACCCTGTGAGGAATGCGTTCTGTAACCCAGTAAAGAGTGGTAGACTTTCTAGTCCACTGTTCATCCTCTGAGTCCTTGGAGAAACACTAGCTGTTATCCCTGAACACATCATGTGGCATACTATGACCTTTATTCCATATAACATATGGGAGAAAAATTCTTTTGAACGATGTTCTGATGAAGCTTCTCTAATATAAAACAAATGTTCTACTTTTTCAAGCATTTTAAAGTACTGTCACTGAAAAATCATTTTATTATATTTTACTGAAGCATTTCACCAATATCATTTTAAACAACAACTATGACGAAGAACAAAGTTTATCAATTATGAATGTTACATACTAAAAGGAAAGATATTAAGAGTGAGTAAATGGAGCAGTTCATAGCTGTAATCAATTTACAGTTTGCATATTGTGGTCTTGAGTGAGCTTGATAGCACAATGACAAAACCATTTATAAAAGTGACAGTTTACACAATTATCATTAAAATTTAAAATATGAATACCAGGAAACGTAGTTGATCCCACTATTTTCATGTCCTTGGATTTTTCATTGATACTTCTTGAGAACCTCTCTGAAGAATTAACTGTTAAAATATAAAATATATTCTGATATTAAAGCAGAGGCTTAAAATTACCAAGAAAGCAAGCACTGAGCTACAGGTTCATGTAAAAGCTTCCAAGATTTGTTCACCAATAGATAGGAGGCACTCTTTTTATAAGTTCTTGTATAAAAGTAACCCCCCATTAAGGCAATCTGAATGAAATGAACAAGACAATGATATAGACATCTTTACTCTGAATGACATAAGCACAAACTTAACATTTAAGTACATTCTTACATATTACACAGGAGCACAGTATGAATAATAAGTTTTGGAAATGAAATGCCACTAAATTCAGAAAAGTTATAGACGGGTGCCTCCAATCTAAAATTGTATTCTAGGTGAAACTCTTCTCTCTCCTGTCTTTCAATCAAGCTAGTTCTGTGCTGCCTAAAAAAATCAGCAAGCAAGCAAAATGCCCAAGAATACAGGAGAGCCAATCCCACTTTTCTCGGTTGCCATGCTGAGTACAACAGCATCAACTGCAGAGAAAATTCTACTCTGTCCCTTCAGCCATGGGGTAGAGCAGGCTCAGTACAGATAAAATAGTTTTTTTTAGAGGCTAGCTCTCAAACTAGTAAGTGTATACTGATCATGTAAAATTCTATTCTTAAATTCATTTGAATAAAGAAAAGACTGACAGAAATCCTGGAGTTCTTAAAGGACCCAGATTTTAATTAATTTTAGGTCATAAACTAATAGACCTACTTGTAAATTCTCAGAAAATCATAATATACTTAAATACTCAGTGTAAGTCTCTAAAGAGGATATAGTACATATATCTAACAAAGAGACTAACTTTAAATATAAAACTGAACTTGACTGTATATATGGAGTTACTATTAGTCTCCCTCCATGAAGCATGCCACGTAGGATAGGAAGCTCTTAAAATTTCTGAGTGACAGGTCTTTTGGAATCTCTTAAACTCTGTGTTTAAATATCACACTTACTGTTGGATGATTTCTTAATGCTGAATCAATATTGAGTCTTAACTTTCCCTTCAGAGCTAAAATCAGGCTTAAAGTTATTTTAATTTGTCTACATTCTGGATTACAAGAGAGAGACTCAAATTTCATGAGAATTGCACAGGTATGAAAAACACTTTGGAAAGAGAAGGAATTTAAAATAAGTCATTCTAGTTCAAATCAGACAATACTGTCTCTTGCATATTTCCTGAAAAAGTTTCAGAATGTTATCATTATTGTCTCCACCCACCGTTTGAAAACGGCATACCCTACAATGATGTAAGGCAGTGGTGCCCAAATTTTTTGTTGTGTGGCCAGAATGGGTGGTGTCAGGTTCATCTATGGGCAAATCCAGCTGATAGGCTTGATCTAGCACATGAGGCCAGCATGGCAAAGACCTAATCCAGTTGCGGGGGGGAGAGGGAGAGGGGGGCACAGTCTTCCCCCCCCGCACACATGAGGATTGGGGTCAGAGACGGAACTGCAGCAGCCTCAATCTGGATGCATAGGGGGTTGAGGGGAGTGAAGAGCAGCCCAGCCCTGATCTGGATGCACAAGGGAGGGAGACAGTGGTGATGGCACCCCCCAATTTGGGCATGGGGGTGGTGTTGGGGGGCGCAGGGGACAGAGGAGCAACCTGGCCCCGGGAGGCAGATCACCCCTGATTGAGAGGTGTGGAGGGGGGAGGGGCAGGGAGCAACCTGGCCCCGATCCAGACATGTGAGGGGGGTGGGGATGAGGACAGAAGCAACTCGGCACAATCCAGACAGGTTGAGGTGAGCCCAGACGTAATCCAAGCACTGCAATGGCCAGGGTGAGGCTGGATCTAGCCATGCAGAGCTTCTACCACTCTTCCACCACCAAATTTCCCAATGCATGAGGATACCCACAGGCTGGATGGCATGGCTCTATGGGTCAAATCGGACCCACAGGCCAAGGATTGTACACCCTGATATAAGGCAACATATTGTAATTTTGCAAAGCATTTGGGAACTTGTTAAAGAAGCTACAGAAATTAGTAGCAATAAGAATATGAAGATCAACAAAAAAAGTATAGAAAAATATCAAAACTATAAATATTATTAATCATGATTATATTATAGTTCGTGTGTGTATGTATATGTGTGTCTGTAGATGTATATGTGTGTTATGTTGGTTCCTTTTTCTAACAGTTTACCATTAAGAACCAACATTAAAACAGTTTAAATATGCAACATTGTAACAACATATACCAATCTGTACTGTATAATTTGGCCACAATACTTGTAAAGTAGAAGTACCGATGAAGGAAAATGGTCATGGTATTGAGGCACCTGTCTGAGACATATGAGACATGAGTTTATTTCCCATCTTTACCTTTCCTGTGACAGCGGGCAAGTCACTTTGGGCTAAATTCTATTTCACTTTTACCACACTAAGTAGAACTTATCAAGCAACAATTTTTAACACTCATACTCTGTTTAAATTTATGCTTATCATGCATTTCCCTTCTGAAATCTAGCTGCAGATAAACCTGGGGTTTAGAAGGCAGCAGAACACTCTTCTACCTTTTAACTCAATAAGCTGGGAAACTAGCTCAGAGAGCATGAGATGCAGTTTGTAGCCCCAACTGACCCAAAAGAAATTTGAACCTATCATCTCCCACTTCCCAACAAAATGCTCTAAACACCTGGCCACTAGCCAGGTATTACCCCCAATAATCTCCAACTCTCCTATTGAACCTGGCCCACTGGAGTCAGGGGGAGTAAAACAAGCCAGAGTGAATGTGGATTATTAAAATATTTGCTGCTCCATACAAGAAGGGCAACCTAGGTCCTGGCCTATGTCCCAATATTCCACTTCTGTTTATCCCTCTTAGCCAATCAATAGTAAGGCAAGATACAGTGGGCCAGCTTCAAGAGAAGTGCTGGAGAGTGACTTGGGTAATGTATAGCCTATGGCCTCATAGCTACATCATTTTACTAGGAAACTGAAGATGCAGGTTCAAACCTCCCCTGGATGAGGATAGCCTTGAATCTGGATTTCCCATTCCCTGGATAAATTCCCCTATGCTACTACTCCACTTTACTTACAGCAGACACACACGCAGGACAATCCTATTCCAGCACAGATTAAAATAGAATCTAAATTGTGTAAGTGACAAAAAATTGCTGTTACATGGCTGCATACTTGCTGCTTAAGCATGTAAGTATAAAATAGGACTTGGATGCTTCAGATTCTGATCTATTTAATAAGGCTAGTAATACTTCTCTACTTCATAAGCTGGCTGTCAAGATTTGGGGTAACTAAGACCCTGCAGTGACACGGTGGCAAGATAATTACAGGTAAATAACAATAGCGGAACTGTATTATTTACTGCATGACCATGTCTTGTCTGTTCATAAACAGTCTTGAGTCCATATTTTTCATTAAAATTTGGGGGTAACAGAAAAGAGCCAGATTCAAAGTTGGTGCTTATCAGCAGATGTTTTGACCTCAGTGAAATTATGCCAATTTATATCAACTGAAATTCCCACCCAGAGACTACACAGATTTTAAATTCTTTTTACCTCTGATCTATAAACATCCTGACAGGAGCAGCCCCAGCTGGCAGGGGGTCCAGAGCATCAGCCTGCCAGCATGAGGCTGCTCCAACCCAGCTCAACATGCTGCGGATGGGCCGGCCTAAAGCACAATATTGCTCCAAAGTAGGGCTAGCCAGCTGGTAGCCCCCTGCATTGAAGCACCCTCGTGCCCCAGCCAGCCGCACCTGCATCTACACGTGCACCGCTGCAGAGTTTAAAAAAAAAAAAACAACAAAAAACCAAACCCCAAAAAACACTCTGCAGCAGGGCAGTACTTGTAAACACAAGTACTACCCTTCTGCGGGGTTAGTTTCTTTTGACCTAACATGAGGCATTTAATATGGAGCTAATTAGTCTACTCGGCAGTCTTGTGTAGCCTACTCTACATCTTGTGTAAACACGCCCAGGAAAAATTGGATCATCTTGAGGAATGGAGCATTAAAATGGTATGACGTTTATCAGTATGAAGTCCAAAATAATACACTTGAGACTTTGGCTTTAAGACTGGGTGATAACTGAGAGAGAGGCACCTATGTGTATTTGTCACTCTCAGGATGTTCTGAGTTGACAGTGTAATGAAAGACAAATGCAATCAAAGGTATAATAGGCTGACTACATTCTGTAGTGACAAGGAGGTATTTGGTACCATTGTATAAGACATTGATAAGACCCCCTTTAAAATACTGTTGCCAGTTGTGGTCACCAGTGTGTTGCCGCCGAGAGCCGCGGCGCGGGGTTCGGGGCTTTAGGAGCCCTAATCGGCAGGCAGGGACATGTGACGCTTGGAGTGGAATCAGGTACTCAAGCATTTGGATTGAATAAAAGATTGTTTACTTACACTGCTCATACAGTGCAGGTCAGAAACTTGCTTCGGTTACAGTTGTAAAACATGGGTCGGGCAGAAATTACAAAGTTGGTTTGGTCGGTCTGCAAATGTGCCGGGACGTTCGGGGTATTCGGGCCGGCAGTCGTCTTACGTCTCGGGTGGGGGTGTGCTAGGCCCCCTTGGGTCGGTGACGGGGAGTCCTTAGTGGTTGATCAGGCCGCTAAGTTCGCTCTGAAACACACGTGGAGTTTGCTAGGCTCCACAGTGTACTCGGAGTTCTCCAACTTGGGCGAAAACTGCTCAAGCTTTTTATACGGCTAGCAAGCCAATCGCTAGCTGCCACGTGTGCATAATTTCACGCAAGCCAATAATGGGGCTCGAATTAGAATACAAATGGCGGGAACTCTTTGCACCGAGCATTTCTTAGATGCAAAAGAAATGCACTGTGCAAAGAAGCTGCAAATTGGCGGGAACTTTTTCTAGGTCATTAATATATAGTCACTGGGCTCTGGAGTTTTCCCTTCGTGACCTAATTATATGACCTACTTACAGAATGATTGACAGACTGCCTTCTGTAATCCTCCACTGTACTATAGGCGCATGAACAGTGGGTTCTGACACAATGTTCCATAACAGTGAACTTAAACTGGACTGGGTTCAAAGAAATGCCACTACTGTGGTTAAGGGAACTGAAGACCTTTCCTTATCAAAGAAGTTTAAAGGAACTTGGCTTGTTTGGTTTAGCAAAAGACCGATTCGATTATTGTTTACAAGTACATCTGTAGGTTGATATTAAGTGAGGTGAAGACATTTTTAAGCTGAAAGACATCAGCATAGGATCAAATGACTATAAAATGGTTAAGGATAAATTTTAAATTGAAAATTAAAATAGGATTTCTCTCCGTCAGAGGAATGAAGTTTGGTCTTCTAAGCCAAATAGTGGCAGCAAAAAACCTGAGTCATTTGAAACTTGAACTTGATATTATGGAACATGGAAGATGTCCAGTTATCTATGCTTCATGGCTTTTGTTGGCCACCACAAATGCAGCTGACTTCTGAGGGTGGTGTCTGGGCATCACCTTCCTCTAAAGCATTCAGACATCAGTCACACCTAAGGCTCCAGCAATGATCCTGCTGGTACCCAGAAAATTGGAGGATCCAATCACCCACTAGGGTCAAGAAGTACTTTTCCCCTTCCCTAGATCAGGTTGGCAAGTGCGGTGTGTTTGGGCCAGTAGTTAGCCTCCTTGGTAGGACAGCGCATGGTCCTTTTCTTAGGATCTTCTGAGCATATATTAGCCAATGATTTCCATGTAATTACAGTAACAGTACCCTCATCTTTCCACTTCTACCTACTGCATGTTATAGGGCATTCTGTGCGTTTCTGGTATTGTAATTGTGTTTAAACTTTGAAATGACCATTTTGGGGATTCCTTGGATAATTTAATTGCCTGTGAAAGTATAGGACTGGACCTGATTATCCAAGGGACCTCTTTGTTTCCTCCCTAATGTTTTACAGGATGCCATGTTGATTTAAGTGCCCTAAATAAAAAGTAAAAACTTAGGATAAAAAAATACTGAGAGCAATATATTGCTACGATCACGTATCTGTCAAAAGCTACTAAAAGTCATACAATGAAAGTTTTAAACATGTATTGCTAAAATGATAAAACAATAGAAATTGAAAGCCTGAAACCTAATATACTGTATTAATAATGGAACACTTCTAAACTGCTTCAGCAATAAAGCTTGTGAAAAATATTTCTATAATATTTTTAACCCAGAGATGGAGCTCTTGAACCACTAATAGAAAAAGAATTGAAGAAAGTAGGTATTGGTAGTAGGTTACTGCAAGGAGATACGAGGACGCACACAATTTCTACAATTATTTTCTGTTCTAGCTCAAAGACAGAAAATCTAGACCAAAAGAACCACTATGAAACCACATGCTGTAATTTAAAAATTAACCTGAGCTTTTGTTCCTTCAGTTGTCTGAAGTACAGCTTAGTCTTTTTAATGTCCAAGCATGTGATTGTGCCTACTTGTGAAGCCTAGGCTCACATATTGCATGCCTCTTTTGACAACATCTGAGCCATATTTGTTTTAAAGTGTTGTCCCCAGATTTTTTCAGGAATCCTAGTTTACTTGAATTCCTCTTCACACCTCCTAACATCTATGCACCCAGAGACCCTTCTTATACTAGTCTCTAGCAATCAATCCTCTTTCTACTCTAACTTTGTTCTGAACAGACCATGTGTTAAATTTAATTGGAGAAAGTATGAAACAGAAGTAACAAGGTCGTGAAGTACTACAAAAAGGGCAAAGAAGGTGAAGTAGGAGATGGTGAAGGACAGGATTCAAAATCTGTCACTTTTATCTTTAAATTGCTTATTAGTATCTCTTCCTCATTAGCGTAACTCCTGAAAGACGGAGAGGTTTTTAAATTTTATCTCTTCTTAAAAGATGAAATGGAAGTTCAGAAACAATTCATTAAAGGAGCCTAGTTGCCTTATAAAACCTTTAGGATATCTCCTGTACAACAGAAACACGCAGGTCCAGATTCTTTACTGCTTTGCATACAATGTTATAGAAAAAGGTATATGCAGCACCTTTTCAAAATGTGTCAAAAGCAGAGCTACTGATCCTACCCACAGGGAAGCTGTTATGTTTTAAGTGCATATGGAGAAAGCAATACAATTTAGCAAAACTGTTTCAACCTGATAAACCTGCTAATGTGGGATTAAGGTTCTGACCCAGTAGAATATGCCAGCATTCTCCTGTGGTAGATTTAAAACTTTCTGGTATTTTGCACAGGTGTAAATATTACACAAACATACATGCCAGAGGTTTATAGACTTGTTTTTGAGTTCTTCTCTGGAGTTGGAAATTTGATTCCTAAAAAAAAAAAAAAAAGTAACTTACAGATTCCCTGCTTGTACTTTGCAGAACAGGGTGCATGAAAACTGCACACCTCCACAACACTTCCTCCATACCCTCTCTGCCTCAAAGACACCAGAGCTACAGTGCTGCTGACAGTTGCTGTCTGTGCAACCTTGGGATTGGGGGATTTTGTATCGCCAAGGAAGAATCTATCCCAGTACATATTAACTGGATGGGTCAAACATTCACTGAAGAGGGAATCCCCACAGAGCTGAAAGAAAGAAACGTAATGAATGCACGATGAACTACATTTCTTGTCCAGATTTAACCTGTCCCAAATCAGTGATGCCCTTTTCCAGGGAACAGGGACAACGATATGCATGCTCTCCAATGAGACCACAACTATGTTTAAAAGACCAAAAAGAGTACAATGATTAAAAACCAGTTGCATAATATAACCCCAACAAATTTATTTAAAATTTTTCATTAATTTGACAGTCTCAGAATGAAGATTAAAATAGTAAATTTAATCATCTTTAAAATATTTCACCAAAAGATTACAATTGATCTGAAAATGTTATTGCTAGGAAACAGGCTTTACAATGAGCTTTGAATAATTAATCAATGTATTAGCTAATAAAATAATGTATTGCTACGCTGTTCATTTGGCATAATTTAAATGAATGTATATAGTAAAGAAAGTTCTACAAATGATGGGAAGTCTTGGCATAAGACCAAATTGAGTTCTTATGGTAACTGCTGCTGTTCTTAAGTAATTAAATTCTGAAATAATTACTGCAAAGAGATATCTGCAGCCAAAAATTGTACAAAAACAAGGCTGCCGACTTAACAGACTTTGTTTCACTTAATCAAACTTACATTTAAGTATGTCCTTTGTTTTCAGATATTTAAATTACAATTGACATTTGTAAGCTGCCTGCTGAGGGAAACTGCTCGGCTAAAATTTTGTCATAGAAGTCTTATTGCTAGAAATATAAAAAGTCTGTGGGGGAAGGGGGAAAATTGGAAGCTGGATTGCAGCTTTTTAAAACTGCATTAATAATAGTTTAATGGTAAAATAATTACCAATTTTTTTTTTTTAGTTATGCCTTGACCTTTCTCTTCTATTAAACCCACTGCTAATGCAGTTCGCAGACAAGGTTAGAGTACACTGCATGACACTATAACAAAGCCACTGTTCTGGATGCCATCACTTTTTAATGAAAGAACTCTCCCTTTCCCTTCTCCCTCCCCCAATACCTCAAACAGGCCAAATGTAATGGAGTCATTTTTAAAGAACCCCCCCCCTCCAGTTCAAAGAAGACACTGTGGACTCTACATGAGATGCTGATCGTGCAGTTGTTACTGCATGGTCATTTAGTACTTGCATATATGATTACTAAAGGACTGCAAGTGTGCCCAGTGGTGTCCCCGCATGGCTGCGTGGTAATGCTGACTGCGCAGCAGCTCATTACTACTGCACAGTAATGTTACGTCATGCTTCATGACACATGATGATGCTGTGCAGTAGTAACGAGCTGCTGCACAGCCTCGGGTAGAGGAAAGGGTACCATTTTAGAACTGGATGACCACGTATAGCTTTCCAGTTTAACTTAGGAGAGCAGAAACTCATCCTTTCAGCACTCACTCGACTCCCAAAAAGCCTTCCATTATGAATCAAAGACTGGGGAAGGAATGAGACGTCTATTAAAATGGCAGTGTTTCCTTAGCTTTAGAAGGAAATGGATCCAGGCAACAGCAGGCCTGGCACTGCAACTATCATGAGTGCCTGGAGGGGGAGGGGGGATCTGAGGATCACACCTTGGGTTGAATAAGCCCGTGGTCAATTCCCGAGTCAAGAATAGCTCAGAACTGCACTGCGCTGCCCTGCCCTGCCCTGCCCTGCCCTCGATGTGGGGCCGGTGCAGGGCACGGCAGACCCAGCTCCTGGAGAGCAGACCCACCCCCCAGGCTCCTGCAGCCGGACCCCGCCCCAAACGGGTGGGTGACTGTGACGTCACCACCACCCGAGGGCAGCAGCAGCGCCGGCGCCTCCCAGTCTCCGACCCCGCCCCCGGGAGGGGCTGCTACCTGCGGGTGCGGCCTGCAGCAGGAAGGCGAGGAGGAGCGCGGCGATGCGGACTGCTGGGGAGGGAGCGACAGACGCTCCCCGGCCCCGCCTCCAGCTCGCCGGGTGCGACATGGCGCGCCGCCCTGCAGGTTCGTTAGCTGCCTCGAACCCCGGCAGCTGGCGTCGCCATGGTAATGGGGCGGGGCTGCGCCGCGTGCAGGCGCGTGTTGAAGCGCGGGGTGATGTTGCGCATGCGCATTCGGCTGGGCCCGGCAGGCAGAGGATTGGTTGCACTCCGACTCCCCGCCTGAGTGGAGCGTGCCTTGCCCAGGAGCGCCCCGACCCCCCGCTGCGGCTCAGAGCTGTTGGGAGGGCGGGCAGCAAGAGCAAAGACCCTGAGGGGCAGCCCCACCTGCCTGGGTACTTAGGGGTTTGCAGAGAGGGGTGCAAGGGTTGCCGTACACCTGCATGAGCGTCTATAAGCCCGCAGGGTTTTTTCCCCTTAAAAGGAAGCCAGAGGCTTTTCCTAACGTGCCCAGAGCTCAGGGCTCTGCTCTTCACTTTCAGATCAAAGCAAAATCTCCTATATCATCGTTGGATCCTGTATTCATCTACTGTGCCCTAGATGGGTGTTTCTCATCCAGTAGGGCGCAACCCAAAAGTGGGTCACAAGAATATATGAAAAGGTCACGAACACACTTAAAAAAATGGGTCAACAAACTTTAAAAATGGATTCTTCTTTAAAGAAGAAAATCATTGGCAACCGGGGCTTTACTCTTGCAAGCTGGCAGAGTTACGCTGTGTCCCACACACGGGGCAGGAGGGAGGGACACTGGGTCTAAAATCAGACTTGATCAAGTTATTTGTCTATATTCTATATTAAAGTAGCAATAATCAAATTTCATGAGAATTGAACAAGTCTGAAAGAAACAACATTTAAAATTAGTCATTCTAGTTCAAGTCAAACAAGACTTTCCCTTGCATGCTTTTTGAAAAAGAGAAAATATGTGAAGGATGATTGTAAGCATTCTTGTTGTTTCTGCTTTTCAGAACTTTCTGGTTTTTGTCTCCGCCCGCCGTTTGAAAAGACCATAACACTACAATGATGAAGGACAAGGTATTGTAGTTCTGCAAAGCATTTGGGAATATGTCAAAGAAGCTACAGAAATTGAATAGTAATAAGTGAAAAGATCAACAGAGAAGAAAGTATAGAAAAAATATCAAAACACTATCATTAATATTGGTTATATTAATGTACTATATATGTTAATATGTTAGTTCCTTTTTCTAAAACACTTTACCATTAGGAACCATCACTTAGAGTGTTACACATTAATGTAAATATTTGTTAAGGGCTCTTAAAACAGGAGTGTCCCCATGTTAGGGCAGGGAAATGTGTTAAGGACCCTCTGAGCACCTTAGAGAGAACCCTCTTCCTCTTCCATCAAGGATTATCTCTTAACTGGTATTGGGCAGCTCATGTTGCAGTCACGTGACTATTCCACAGGCCCCAAATCAGTTGGGATCAGTCCTTCAGCATCCCAGGAGGCGCTGTTCCCAGCTACTCTATCTTTACCCACAGTGACCTGTAGTCAAAAAAAGGAGTGAAAGCTAAAAGTTGGCATTTTCCAAAAGGCGCTTTGAGTCTAACAAGGGGGGCCTGTTGCATCTAAAAAAGTTGAGAGCCGCTGGTCTAATTTAGTGTAGCTGTGTTTTGAAAAGCAGCTGTACAAAAAGGCCCCTTGTTACTTAGCAGATAAGCTCCTTGTGGATCGTCAGGGTAAAGGTTTGTCTCAACAGTCCAAAGGTAAACACATTTTTACTCTTTTCTACATTTTAAAGAGCCAGTGCAAGAATATTGAGGCTTGATAGAGCTGTGCAGTCTCATCTTTTTTGTGCATTATCAGCAGTATTGGTTATTAAGTTCTAACCATTTACACCTTAGAAAATTCTAATTTGCAACTCTGGAAGCTAGAAAAGCTTGTTTTCTAATTAAAACTTGGATGCATATCATATGGAAATCATTGACACACAACAAATGTGGCATTTTAAATGTCATATTACAGAGAAGAATCACATTTATGAACATTTGCTCCATAACTTGAAGGAACAAAAATGTTGGCAAATGTAAAGTGAATGTAAGATGTGTCAGAAAGATTTCTGTTTTTTCACCAATTTCTGTTTTTCACCACTTTTCTATAAAAGGTCTAAAAAATTGCCTTTTCATCCCTTTCCAGGCATGAAACCATGGGCTAATTTCTTACCAGTAAAGAAAGAAGCTTTACATTAAATTTTCTTTTTCCCATGGTAGACCTTCTCCCATGGGTTCATTAAGAATGTGAATTTCAAAAAAGGTTTGTCATCATTTGATCAGACAGTTTGTTTCTGATTGTGATTTCACATCAGTGCTAAGAGTAACTGAGTTCAGTGAACTTACGACTGTGTGAAACCATTGTAAACCAAAGGACAGCTGGAACCTGTTTTTCTAACTTCAGCTGTTCTGTGGTAACTGTCCCTAGGTCCACAACTATCCTGTGGTAAGTGAAAGCTAAACCAAGGCAATTTATCCTTCTTTCTTTTAAACTGAGTTAAAAACAACTAGTAAAAGTCTAGAGATAAGCAGTCATATTTTGTAGGGTGGAAATGTTTAATATTTATGGTCAATATGGCTTATTAACTGTAAATAATATTATTAACCTTTGATTTTTATTTTTTTTTCTATTTGATAAACCTTGTATCACTTAAAACAATTTATGGGTCTATTCTTGTTGCTTCTTGTCTAAATTTCAGTTGTGTAGGTACTTTATATATAAAAATCCTAATTTGTTTTTGGGTAATCTGAAAGCATATTATGGAGTAAGTAGCTGATTGTGTTTCCTCTAGGTATCAGGTTATGATGATTACACAGTTACAAGTTGCATTGTGTGTTAGTGTTCCGCTGTTGCCAAGCAACAAGCAGACTCTTTGCTCATCTGACAGCTTCATTCTTTCTCTGGCTTCCTTTTTTGCTCTTTTCCAGGGAAGAATTCACCTTTTAAACTAGTGTTTTGGCTTTTAGGGTTTATCTGAAGTGTTTTTTGGTGGATGCACTCCTATTTACTGTGCCTTATTGGACAGGATTTCAGAAAGTGAAAAGTAAGATAAAGTTGATCCTTTAATTTGCTGTCAGCTAAGGGGGTAAAGAGAATGACCATGGTTTCCCAGGGAGCTGAAAGGCAGATTAGTGGCTTGAAAACAGTCAATCAGTCAGTCAAACCAATTCACAAGATGGATCGCCAGCAATATCAAAATCTGTTACAGAAAATGTACATGCCTTCTGTGAGAGGACCTGATGACAGACATGATTTTGACAGCTTCCAGCAGAAAGACAGTAAATCTTTTCTTAAATTCAATCCTTACACTCCAGCAGGTGGGCCGGACTATCCTTTATTCCCACACCGGGACAATGTGCCTTTGGTTGACCCCTGCTCGGGATTCATAAGTGCAGGAGCTGATGCTCTTTTGCAGCCAAACTGTGGCAGAACCATTGATTCACTGGTGGATTACAGTGATGTAAAACCTCATCAGCGGGTTCCCGCTCCAGAAAAAACCCCGCAGGCTGCACACAGAAGGCATATGATTTTGTTAGAGGAAACAAACCAGGACAGACGTTGGAATTCCAGGAAAGTGTCAGATGCTTTGATCAGGGCACGACTTGGAGGTAAAGCAAGTTATTATTATTACTTGTTAATCACAGCTTGGGCTCTACAAGGCACAAAGACACTCCCTGCCCCACAGAACCTACAAATTATGACCTTAATATAATACGTTTGCATTTGATATTTACATTGAAACCAACCATGGAAAAAAACAGAACAGATGATTAATTGTCCCAAGAGCGGCATCCAGGTGCCAAATAGGAAATTATAGCTTACAAAGAGAAAGCAAAAGAATTTGAAATTAATTAATATAAAATAAACCATAATCTCTTAAAAGGTAATTAAAGTAATAAAAATGAGTAAGCTGGTATAGCTTATCAGTTTGAAGAGTAGAAACCCTAAACACTGATGTATCTTTTGACATGGCATGCCACAGAGCTAAAGTCACTTCAACCAGGGCACAACTTGACAGTAATGTGGATCGTAGAGTGGAATTCCTCTAGAACCATTGAGGTGTCTTGGTCCAAATACATGCTGTTTAGTTATATATACAACAAAATATCAGATAGTATTCAAGAACTGATACATGGAGCTGACTTGCCCATTGGGGCCTGATTCTACTCCCCTTAAAGTTGGCAACAAAACTCATTGGCTTTAGTGGGAACATGATCAGACTGGCTTAATCCTTCAAACCATAATCTGTTGAAAGAACTGAAACTATAAAACACTCTATAGGGTACTTCTAAAAGCAAAATGCATCACAATCATTAAGCAGTACAGCAAAACTTTTTTTTTACAGTTTAACAGAATCCAAAAATAATTTCCTTAATGTTCTTAGAAACCTGAACAAAATTTTAGAAGATCCTTGGGCATACTATAACAAAGTTTCTGAAAGATAAGAAGATCCATATGATCTTTAGTGTAGACTGCATTAATATTCAGAACTATAAAGAACGTTTTTACAATGCAAAAATACCATTGTTAGCACTGTAAATTAATTGTGTTTTATTCAAATTAGTCATCATAAAGTCCTTGAGTTCCACAAATTTTAGCAATAATTTTGGTTACCTTTGTCATATCATTTAAAATTTTTTGCTTTAAATAAAAAACATGAAGCCTACTATAGTTCTAAAAGTAATTTTTTAAAGCCACAAATAAATTAGTAAATGAAGTATAACCTTAACCAGTCTATCAATCTTCTTTATTCAACCTCTATCACTCATGCTCAGTTTCTCAAATTCTATTCTTTTAATATTTTCTCTGATTCAATGTTTTGTTTTTACATATATTTCTGGCTTTTATGGCAAAATAGCACAAATCGCCAGAGGTAAACAGCTGCTTTTCTGCCCGTTTCTGGAGAAGAAAATGAGGGGACGGAGGATCTGAGCTAGAGATGGCTGAAAAGACATAGATCAAGAGAAAACATGAAACTCTGTGACCAAGTCATTGTCTAACTTACAGTGGTCTGAAATGGCAGATAAATCCAAGACTCAGGCACATACAAGTTTCCATCACTTTATGTTGTACGTGTTCCTGGAAAATGGCGCATAATTTGCATAAAGGGAGCCCACTTTGCAATGTAACAAATACGGATACGTTCCAAGACCTCAACTGGACTGACCCCCAGACCCATTTCTACCACTTTTGCAAGGCAGTTTTGATAGTCACCAACAGCAGACAGTACACACAAGCATAGGATGGTGGTGAATGTTGCCATAATGGGGATGGCAACTACAGAAACACGTGTTGCAGACAACGAGCAAGGAGCACAGATCCACACAGACTATATTTTAGTGCACAGCATTCCCACAATGCACCTCACAAAGCGGCTGACTGTGAGCTTCCACCACACCAATCATTTAAGAGTGAATTTACCTTGCATATAATGAATTTTTGGTATAAAAAGACTGTATAAGAGTGAATTCCCATATACAGAACCTGTATAAAGCAGGGGAAACCTGTACCATCAAATACTCTTCTTCAGGTATGTCAGAAAGACCCAAGTTAAGGTCTTAAGGTTAAATCTTAGTTCCACTGAAGTCAATGGCAAAACTCAGAGTATCTTAGGAAAGACACCTGAAAGAGCCACTCCAACAGCAATTTCTTCATGAAAGCTGGGCAAAAGCTTTCCAAGCCTGGTTTTATTTACAAGTGTTTTTGGACATTGGCTAACCTGATAAGGAGAGCTTTAAACTAGATTCTATGGTGGATGGCAGCAAAACTACCACATGCAAGTGTACAGAGGATCATGACCTGGAAAAAAACGTGGTGGAATAATTTCCGTAAGTGGAAAATTGATGTGGCGGGGGGGTAGCTTGTTTTAGAAGTTAGGTCCAGGAAAAAGGGATCAGACATTTCACTATATGTCAAGAATGGATTCATTTAGTCCAAGCTCTACCCCCGCCCCCTCCAAAAAATTATTTTTAAGCATATGTGGTTGAAAATGAAGGGAGAATAGAATAGTGATATTATGGTGGAGGCCTGCTATCAACCACTAAATCAGTAAGCAAGTAGATGAAGCATTTTCCTAGCAAATAACAAGAATACTTAAGATTTGTGAAGTAGTAAAAATGAAGAATTTTAATTTTCTTGAAATAGCAAAATACAAGAAAGGCCAGCACATTTTTAACAGCTTTAAAGGGCAATTTTCTGGAAAACTAAAAAAAAGGAAGCAAGTAGGGGTTCCTTTATTTTGGATCTGCTTCTCAGCAACTGAGATGACCTGGCTGCAAGTATGAAGGTGGTTGGGAATTTGGGAGAAAGTGATAATGTTATTTACAATATTTACCAGAGTAACCTCCCCTCCAAGCTGATCTGGGTGTGGGGCAGGCTTCAAACATCGTGTCTCCCCATCTCCTATCGATCCAGGAGCTGCTGGATTGGGAGTTCCAACTGATCCTGTCCCATGCAATGATGTAGATGCCTACCTGGTCGAACGTTTTATCCTGCCATCAAGAAGAAAGGGAAGAGGGGACACCCAGAGTTAACAAAAAAATAATAAAGTCAAATATTTGTAGTAAAAAGAGCAAGCCTGTCTGTTTACTCACCCAAGGACTCATAGTTTATATAGTTCACAATCTCTGCAGCATATAAACAGTGTTAACTAATAATAGAATACTGCCTTCTGGTACTAACCAAAAATCTGTTTTTGGCAGCACATGTACTTACACATTTCAATGTATGCTGTATAATTGTTTAACGGCATGCTTCCTAATAATCCTGTAAGCAGCTCATCCAGAAAGTGCTGCATCAAAATCAAAGTAATCCCTCAAGGGCTCTCTATTACTAGTAAAACCAATTGTATTTCCTCCAGGGATTTGATAATTTATGATCTGCGAAGTTATATATATTCATCGTGTGATAGCTTTTCACCATTGCCAAGTAGGGGAGAAATTCTTTGCTTGTTTAACAGCCTCATTTCTTCTATGTGGCTTCATTTGTAATCAACCTTTGCAGTTTAAGATACTGTTTTTATTTTGTTTCTTTGTGAAATCAGTTTCAGTGGCTGAGTTTAATCTTGAAATGGTTCCATAGGAAAAGAGAAACGAAAGAGCGAGTGAGTGGTGGGACATATTTATTTTTCTGTTACACAAATCAAATTTGACAAAGAGCTGAAACAAACGATAAAGTTTAAACCTAGGTTCACAGCCACCTAATAAGGGGGTGTAACAGTAACAGCATCCAGCCCCCACTGAAATAAACACTAGCTCTCCCATTAACCACAAGTGGATAAGGTCATGCCTTTAATGTACAATGCATAGCCTTAATGAGAGGATGCAGTGTTGACAACTCATGTCATTTTGGTGTTTTTATAAAGCTTCTGCTCCTGGTTTTATGCAAGTAAGCACAAATCTCAGTTTTCACATTAAAAAAAATAGGAAATGTTTACTTCTCTTGGTGCCTAAGAACTTGAAAATGTGACCCAAGTATACCCTCAAGGGATGCTGGCGCAGAAACCAAAAGATAAATTAAAATGCACCCAAATTTATAATTGCCATAAATCCCTGCTTTGTAAGAGTTTAGGGACTAATTTCAAATAATAAGTCAACTTGTTCTTGGTAGTTAATGTGATATAAAACCAAGCCAGCGAGTTCCCAATCTTGACAGGAGCAATCAGAGCATGCTGCCTTCAATCCTGCAGGATGGACAAGGCTACAGGGGGAAATTGCAAGCTGAGAAACTCGACCCCAGGGCAAAAATTAATATGACTATGCTGAATCTCTCTGTTGAAACCAGAAGGAGAAAGGACAGTTAGAAGATTAATTATTCCAGCAGCAGGATGCAGGTGTCAACATAGCAAATTATAATGTACTGTGATAGAGCAGAGGTCCCTGAAAATTCATATGTCCAATTATTAAAGCAAATGTAAAATTAGAGCTGTGTCCTTATAAGACATGCAGGCAGCACAGCTGTCATACTTATTTTATACATACAGCATGAGGAATAACTCCTGCAACATTTGGCCTTTAATCAATGAGCCTATGGAACGGTGTTTTAGTACTGTATAACCACTGGAGGAACCTACTTATAATACATCTGCATGTCTGCTTCTTGCCTGTAGAGGGCAGTAATACACATGTACTGTCTATATACACAACTAATACAGCTTTATAGGAATGAAAACAACATCAGAAAGCTTCTTAATGGGCGTATTAGGCTTGTATCATCCCAGGCAGCATTCTAAGTTCACACAAGGCTGAGGCAAATTGAGGATGCAGTTGTGAACTTTTAAGTGACCCACATCTGCTTGTTTTTGAGACATTTCTCAACAGGCTTCTTTTACTTGACAATGATTTATTTGAAAAAACATTAACTGGGGGCATCTCCATGAGATGCTTACTGTGGAGTTGCCTAATTAGCTCCGCAGTAAAGCGTCTACATGTATGGAGCTGTTAGGCCAGAGCAAACTAATTAACTCCACTGTAGGTTAGTACTACCCAACATAGGTAGTATCCTACAGCGGAATTACTTACTCCACCACAATGCACATGTAGATGCTGTCTGGGACTGGCTGGGGTACAAGGCTGCTACAGTGCAGTTGCTGCCTACTGGTTAGTCCTGCACTGTGTCACCCTCATGCCCGAGCCAGCTCCTCCATCGTAGGCTGAGTCAGGGGAGCAGCTCCAGGCTGGCAGACTGACTCCCCACGGCCCCTGCCAACCAGGGCTGTGCCACCCTGGCCTAACATGCTGCAGTGCCAGGCACATGTGTAAACACTGCACCCAAGAGCAATAAATGCCGGAATGAACTGCACCAGGGTTTATTCAGATGCACTAATTGCAAATGTAGATGCACCCACTATTTAAAACAGCCTAAAATGAGGTCAGCGGTAGCTGTTGGATACTCAGACCTTTTGAAAATCAGGATGCTGACTTAACAGCCTAAATACTGAAGGCTTAGTTTCATTTCCTTTTCTGAAAAATCTTGGCCTTGTGATTTAAGCTGTTTTATTAACCCTGGTCATATTCAAAGGACTATTTGTTTCTGGGGAAGACCTGACTTGAACTATTGCTAGATACAGCGGCTCATATATTCTTGGTACTAAATACATTATAATAAGCTTTGTATTCATTGGATAACCTTGATAATTGTGCCAGAGTCAGGAGAAAAGAGTACAGAGAGAAAATTTGATCCCTTCAAATTTGAGGGCTAGATCCAGACATGTGGAATTTGTGGCACCGCAGATCTTTTTGTGGTGCCACAAAATGCATGCATTGCACATTAAACCACACACGATGATGCTAATTTGCAGCGCCAAGGCAAAATTGGACACTGGGATTTCCTGGTAGTAAAAAAAAAAATATGCAGAAGAGAAAAGCAGTGCCAAAAAGGTCTGGGCTGGCTGCTCCCCTGTCTCCATGTGCCTCAGTGTGGAGACTCCCCCAGAGCTCCCCCACCTCAAGGCACACTGTGCCCCAGCCAACTGCTTTGTGGCTGACTAGGGTGCAGTGTACCTCAGCACAGGAGCTCCACAGTGGATTCCCTCCTCCTCCTCCCCACACAGCACGTGGAGCAGCAGGACAGAGTGTCCTGCAGCAAAGTTCGTAGGCAGGGGCATGCACTGGGGCACAAAGTAGCGGCACAAATTTGTGCCTCTATTGTTTGTGCTGCTGCAAGCATACACCTCTGCTCATGTGGCTATGGCTGAGAGGGGCAACTATAATGAGGGTGAGAGATGGTATGAGAGGGGAGTATTCTCATAGCACAGACAGAACTGTGCTGTGACTGCCTACCAGCTACACCTTTTGAAAAGTATACCTCTCAGAATCAGCAAAAAACAGACTGCTTCATAAAGGTATTACTGCATGGACACTGTGCACAGCTTACAACGCAATCCTCTGTATATTGAAATGCATGCTTTTCATTTGATAACTGTACAAGAACCTAGGTAGTTTCAGCAATGTGGCATGTGATGACTCTTTTCAGTTGTATTAGTGCAATTGTATTATAATTACTGATTGGGATATTTTTCTTGCATGCATTAAATAAGGTAACTTTATTTTCATTGATAACACATCATATTCTGATATTAGGGCCAAATCAGCTCCATGTATTTTTAATTTATTTTGGTGCAAGTCTGTAAATCTCTCTGAGGTTCTAGAAATGGGTGAATGAATATAGTTTTATGGTTTTCATGATAACATATAGACTACAGTACAACCTCATTATAATAAATCTATTTATAACAAAATCCAAACCTCCACTTTTAACAGTCCCACCACAGGAGTTAATTTTTTCATTGTGATTATGCAACAAATTGTAATCATAGAATCATATAAAATTAGGGTTGGAAGGGACCTCAGGAGGCCATCTAATCAAACCCCCCCAGGAATGTCCCCAACTATATCACCCCAGCCAAGGCTTTGTCTAGCTGGGTCTTGAAAACCTCCAAGGATGGAAATTGCACCACCTCTCTGGCTAACCTGTTCCAGTGTTTTACTACCCTCCTAGTAAGAAAATTCTTCCTAATATCTAACCTAAACTTCCCTTGCTGCAACTTGAGACCGTTTGCTCCTTGTTCTATCATCTTCTGCTGAGAACGGCCTAGCTCCATCTTCTTTTGACCCTGCGCCCCCTTTCAGGTATTTGAAGGCTACTATTAAATCCCCTCTCAGTCTCCTCTTCTCCAGACTAAATAAGCCCAGTTCCCTTGAGAAATTTACTAACGGTATTATAGCAAACATCTTGTTTTAATGAACTTCTTTCCCATGCATATATGGTTTTGTTATAAAAAATGCATATTATATATGCTTTCATTTAGTTTAGCAAATTGTTGCTTTAAAATGATTCACACAGTATCAAGTCCTTTCTTTCAGGGTGGACAAGTCCAGTGAAAGTTACTCCTGCTCCACTTAAACAAAATGATGCCATTCCAATACATAAATGTGCATTTCACGTGGACCCAAACCTTAAGGTAATGTGTCTGATGCTACTTGTTTTAATGATTATTCAAACCTGGATTCTAGAAAACATTTTTAAGATTTCTAATCTGCACAGTGGTTTCCATTTAAAATAATTTTTGCCAACTATTGTCATGTAATGATGGCATCTGAGAATACTACGTCAATTTCTTTGCCCAATTAGAGTGAAAGAAGCACTGTGTTTCAGATGAGTGCGTACTATTTAGTTAAAATAAAATGCTCACTTTGCAATAGTGAACACTGCCTCTGATGTTTTGCAAAATCTTTTTGTTGCATCTTTAAATCCTGCATAAATCAATCAAGGGGCAATTATGCAGTCAGCTACATATAGTCCTGTTCCTTAATTGAGGCTCTAGATCAGCATTTCTTAACCTGTGGGTCGTGACTGAAAAGTAGGTCACAAAAATCAGTGTTGCAGACAAACTTTAGAAATAGATCAACAAACTTTGAAAACAGATTCTCCTTTAAAGGAGAAAAATGTGGGAAAACAGGGCTTTTCCCTTGCAGGCTGGCAGAGTTCCAGCCTGCAAGGGACTGCTTGTGGCCTCCCTGCCCACCACTCCACAATCCCTACCCCCCCCACACACTTGGGTGCTGGTGCCTGGGGGTGGGGGCTGCGGATCAGCAGTGAAGGGCACTGGGTTGGGACTGGCCATCAGTGTTTACAAATGAGCCCTAGTACAAAAAAGGTTGAGAACCACTGGTTTAGATGATAGTGTGAGATTTGATTTGCAGACTACATGAATATTAATAGTTGTGTAATATGAATATATATGTCGACATACCCACACTAGAGATAGAGAAAGGGCAAAGATTTGAGATTTCAGAGAGATGCATCTAGTATAAAAATACCCCTCTGCAGTGGTGCTCAGCCTTCGGGACCCACAGGTCAGATGAGTGGCATGGGGCCAGTCCACAGGTCAGATCCTGTAGGCAGGTTTGGTCTGCGGGCCAGATCCAGATTGATCCGTGGGCCAGATCAATCTACAGGATTGATCCAGCATGCAGGACTGTGTCATCCAGCTGTGGGGATCTGCAGAGGTCCAGACATTTGGCAGTGAGGGAGTGGTAGCAACATTATCTGAGGCCTCTTCTAGAGCCAGACCTACGGGAAGCTCAGTGGGTTAGATGACAGAGTCTCAAGAGCCAGAGTTTGAGTACCACTGCCCTCATGCGATAGTTACTCCCCCTTTGGGGTCTGAAAAAATGAATGCATCTAAGGCAACCTCCTGATAGCACTGTTTCTAAAAGGAGATGATTCTTATTCTTCTACATTGTCATTGAACCCATTGACTTTTTCTGTTCCCATGTTTAAAGTTACTTACATGCTTAAGTCCATTGTTGAAGTGGAACACAAGAGTGGAAGTTTGACTTTTGAAAAAAGAGTGTAAAATTGCTTATTCCACATTTTGATATAAAGGACAAATTCAACTTCCACCAAAACAGACCTCTCAGCTCATCTCCCCTCTGCCCCCCCAAAACTCAGTTTCATGTGTGTTTGCGGCATTGCATGAACTATTTTTTGCACTCTACCATATGCTGTACCACATTATATTTTCTATAGAAATCAAGTGACCCTTCTGCAAATTGGAGAGAAGAAAAAGCAAGGGACTATTTCTATCACTCAAGTACCCAAAGGTGAAAACTCTTTTTCATGAAGAGATTATTTTACTTCATTGTCATCATCTGCCTTTATGCAGCTTTCAGGAGCTGTACATTTAAGTGGGGGAGTGCAGTTCAGCAAAACTGAACTACTGGGGTTAGGAGGAGTTACTCATTCTGTACCAGGACACTGGGGGCTAATTTGTTAATCTTCCAAGTAGGGAACAAGATCAGTTCTGAATGACAGCTGTCTTTCAATCTATGTCATAATACCCATTTCCTTCAGTGCCAATTATGGGACAGTTTTATTACATATAATTCTAGACTGCTTATTTCCCTTAAAACAAAATAAGCATATTTGTTTCACCCATCATCTGTGTTTGTCACAGAATGGTCTCTTCCCATCCATTTTTTGCTGTTGCAAAAATCAGAGAATTTAAAAGAAGGATCCATTTTGATCATGGTTCTATTTTAATATGACAAAGCAATAATTTATGGTTCAGCCTCTATGTGTGGGTAATAGTGATTTCAATATTCATTACACTAGGAGTTACTTTATCCACATACATTAGAAATTCTTAAGTGTCCTCCAGCTTTGTTAAGAACTTTCTTCCCTAGAATGTGAATAGTGTTTTTACTGAAAACAGGGTGTTTCTACACAAGACTCTTTACTCGAAATTAGATGCTTACCGTGCAGTAATTGGCTCTAATTATGAGTAAATTTGCTACCTGTAAATACAAGTAGCAAATTTACTCTCGATTACTTACTGTGCAGTAGCGCATGTGTAGATGCCTGACCAGGAGCACACTTGCTGCTGGGCAGCAAGGGGCAGGAGATTGCTCCCTACCCCCAGGAGATGCTTGCTGCCAGGGCAGTCTCCGCCACCAGATCTCGGGTGGGGTCAATGTCCCCCTTCCCCAGCAGTAGGGAGCTCCCAGCCCCTGGCCTGTGATCACAATCGTGGGGCTGGCCATCTCCTAGCCCAAGCTCCACGGTCATGGTGCCAGTGCTGAGAGATTCTTCTCTCCCAGCCCAAGATGCACAGTTTCAGGGCCAGTGCTGGGAGATCCTTATCTCCCAATGCTGGCCCCACAACCATGAAACTGGCATTGGGAGATAAGGAAAGATCTCCTAGCCCCAGCCCTCCAACTGTGGAGCTCAGGCTGGGAGATAAGGATCTATCTGTGCCGGCCGCATGACCATGGAGCTGGCGCTGGGAGATAAGGATCTCCCATCCCTGACCCCACAATCACAGAGCAGGGCCTGGGAGCTGCCTTCTGCCAGGGCAGGGGGACATTGTTCCCACCCGGGCTGCTGTAGTGGAGTCCGCCTCAGCAGCAGGGAACAATGTTCCAGCCTCCACCAAGAGACAGCTGTCTCCTGGCCCTGTGTTCCCTGCCAGCCCCTGGGCTAGCACCCAGCGGGAACCTAGAGCTACCCCTGGCTGGTGCAGGGGCCCCGCGCAGGGCTGGCAGGGGAGGGAGCAGATTCCTGCCGTAAGCATCAAATTCACTCCTGAGTCCCTGCACTTGTAGATTTGTGCCCAGGAGAGTTTACTCTAGAGTAAACTGATCCTGGATTATTTGCACATGTAGACGTGTCCACAATGCACTAGTTATAGTCTAAATAAATACATCTTTACTCAGTACTAAAAATGCAACACAGTTGTTTCACAGATCCTGGCAGCCAGAATTGGATGCCATAGGTCAAGCTGATGGGACACACCAGGCATCCCATGCTGTAGATGATAACATGCACATAAGTCAGCAGGAGGGGAGAGAAGGGCAGTAGTTCTGTCCTGCAACCTAAAGTCAAAAACATAAAATCCGAGTAGGCCACTGTGTCAGCTTTATTTCAGAATGCTGCACCCCTTCCTTGTGTATTCACTCAGGGTCATCACAGAAGACTGTGATAATTAGAACTCGGATCAGAACCTGGGAATCACCAGCCCAGTGATTTGGGTTAACCACAGTAAATACCAGTGGAAAGTCTGCAGTGGTTGTTTCATAGCAGTTTCTATCTGGAAACTCCCAGCACTTGCAAGAACCATAGCCTCTTTACTGAGGCAGGAAAAGATTAAATGATCCCTGTATCTACACAAAGCTTAGACATGGGATTTGAAATGAGGACTCTTGGCTGAGGTATTGAAAGCTATTCCACCTCACTGCCTGGATGCATCACAGAGATCTTCCTGTACTATAGCTTTTTTCTTTGTGAAATTTGCTTAATGGTATTTAGGCACATTGTTATCTGTAGGATCCAAAGCACTTGGCAAATATGGATACCAATGAGTACCTCCATTATACAGATTGTGCCCCATGCCTGTGGTATACAGACTTCCTTCATTCCAAAGAGGCAAGTCATGCCACATCAATATCATGTCTGGCAGTTTTGCAGCTAGTTCTTAACCACCTTGCTGCACTGCACCCTATCCATAGCTCTTTCTGAAAAAATGCAGCCAATAATACTTTCCAATTTCAAAGCAGTTTCTGTTTGTGTGTGTAAAGATGGCATGCAATATGAGCATACTGAGGTTGCTTCCAAACACCTAGATCCGGTTTTTTTAATGATACATTGTGAGTCCTCTTTTTTCAACAAGCCTTTCCATAAGTCTCAGTTTAAACAGTCCTTTTCTTCCAAAACTTCTACCAGCTTCCCCCCCAAAAAGTCATACCCCAAGAGGACTTTTGAACTCCTGAAGTGAGAGGTGCCAGGGACTTTTCATATGAAACTGTTGCAGGGCACTAAGGTGTGCCTGCTCCTTTAAGAGCAGAAACTGCCTAGAGAGAGGGCCTTAGGAGCCAGGCAGAAACCCCACAGGTGCAGGTTGCTGTGGCAGCAGGCTAACGAGGGAATTAGCCTGCACCTGCACCCAGTCAGCTGACCAGAAGAAGGCAGAGCCCTGGGCACATATAAGCTCCAGGGTTGGGACTGAAGGCAGTTTGTGGTGTTGTTTTTAACCCGGTAGACTGGCTGAGGTTATTGGGGAAGGAGAAGGCCTCATAGAAGCAGAGTCAAGAGCCCAGCACCAGAGAGGGCCCAGTGACAGGGGCTGCGGAGAGCCCAACGCCAGAGAGTGCACGGTGACAGGGGCTGCGGAGAGCCCAGCACCAGGGAAGGGGTGTAGACAGAGGCCAAGGGCCCAGTGACGACAGGAGGCCAAGCTAGACTAAGGCCTCAGAGGGACAACATTTGAATTCCACCTGCGAGGCATGGGCTGTGGTAAAGGGGCAGTTTTGGAGCCATGCATCTAGCCCATAAGGCTCAGGGTGTCTCAAGAGGCATGGACTTTGAGTAAGTCCTGGTAAGGGATCCAAGGACAGCAGGATTTAGTTGGGTTCTGCAGGACCATGACCACACAATCTCATGGGCAGCCTCCCACTTTACTATTTCAAATAGTAAGACATGGCAGGCAAGATTAGAAGGCACCCACAGGGGGAAGCTGGCACAGTTACAGGGCCCTAAAGACATCACAGCTGTCTCTAGGGACCCCACCCCATGATAAAAACTTTAAGGCAGACGCATGTTTTTCAGAGAGATATTGTGGCTAAATAGTTAACGTTTGTCACTGTCATCTCAGTATTATGTTCTGCTCCCAGGCTTTGCTGGAAAGGGTAGGACCTTATTAAGACTAACTGCAGAAGAGGTTGAATTAGAAGATCTCCTGGCTCCATTGAATTCTCCTCCCCAGGAGTAAAGGGTTATATAGTAAGATAAGGATGACCCTTTTTGCTTGCTTCCACATCTCTCCAGTGCTCTCTCTGGGGGCACTCATCTGTACAGATCATTCTTTTTCCCTGATCCTTAAGAAATAAATCACATTTCTTGTGCCATCATTTTACCAGACTGTTAGGAGTTCCATTACAAAATTCAGTCTACATACAGAAGGTGCATTTTAATCCCCTAAATTGATATCATTCTGTACGCTAGTTGTAAATGTCAGTCCATATACAATCTATAATTATTGTTTTAAAACATTTTTCTTTTCTTTTCTTAATGGTCTAGAGCGTATGAAGAAGTTCCCTGGGATAATATGTTACAGCCCAAAATTCCACCTCCAGAATCAACAGTAGAAAAGATGGCTGATCCCATCTCACCATGTTTTACAATTAAGAGATATTATCCTGTGCCAGATATAAGCCAAGTCAGTATACTTTTTATGACAGTTTGTGGGGTTTCTTGTATACTAATGGGACACACCACAAATTACAGTACATAGGACATATGTATCCATATGTTTTAATTAGAGGTAGCTCCAAACCATGACCATATATCCAAATGCTCCAGTAGTTTGGAAAAATTTGGATCTTGATCCTAGCCTTATAGTTCAAGACTGTCTTTTGTTTCAGGGCTTCATTTCTAACAAACAAAAGATTTAGTAAATGCAGTTGCATGCTAGAAGAGCCATTTATTGCAAATCCAGTGCTCACTGAGGCCAATGAGAGTGTTTTCATCAAAGCTGGTCAGAAATTGTTTTTTATTCAGTAACAAGTTCATAAAAAGATGTTTCCACTAACATTTTCCATTCCAAAATGGAGACAGTATCTATATGATGGACAATAAAGATGTGTCATGCCCAGATGCTCATCTGTAAGTCTGAGTTTTGTGACCACGTTATCTCTTTCAAGATGCATCCCTAGCTTACCTCATGATGTGAGGAAACAGTTGCATCAAAAGACCCCTCTGGCTGTGGTCCATAACAGTAGTCTAATTGTGATATCCACCCTCCAGGGGATATGAGAAAATCCAGCAACAGTTCCCATGAAGGACCAGGGTTCTAAATATATAGAACTTGTCTCAATGACTCAGGAGGCCTTTTCCAATCTTTTGTCCCTACATTCGCATCTTGTTTTTCAAAGAAAAACCAAAAATTTTCACAGAATTTAGGTATTTCCTTGGAAGAATTCTGCTTGACAAACACCCAGTTTTCCATTAAAAACAATTTTGACAGAAAATATTTGACCAGTCCTACTTCTATTGATTTCATCATACACTGGCCTGCGGCCATTGACTTCTCTCTCCTGTATTTTTATAGGACAAGATATTTTAGAAATAAAATGTATAATATAATATTAAAAACATTTTTCCTTTAGCTGAGAATAAGAGAGTTAGTGAGGTAGGGTTAGATGGTTCAGGCTATTGATTTTGAAATATAGAGACTTATACCTCTGTCACCTCTTTAAATGGGGCTCAGGTTGGTGAAAGAAAGTGTTGCTAATTGATAACTACTCTGTAGCCTGTCTGATTTAGGTTGGTGGTTCCCATTTAGTTTCCTGCAGAGAAAAGTTCCCATTAAAAAATGCTGTTACAGGTAATGGTAATGGGCACCTTTGGTAGCCATTTTAACAGAGGTGAAGAATTGAGTGAGTATGATGATTGCACTATTATCTCATCCCTCCAAAAAGTCGATGGGCAGAATGAGAAATTTCCTCCAGCTCCCAGCACTGCTGCCAACCCTCTTCCCTTGCTCCCCTGCCCAGCTCCCCCGCTGAGAAGAGCCCAGTGCCACCCTTGGCCTCAGCCCACAGCGGCAGCCTGCCCTCACCCCGCACACAGATCCTGGGGTACATGCCTCCTGTGGGGTGTGCACAGCAGCAGGAGCTGCCCCCTCTGCCCAACGAGCTGCTTGGAGCTCTGTCCTGCACGCTGCCCTGGCTGGGCAGCACCTGCCTCTGCCCCAGTCCCACTCCCTCCCTCACCACAGGGGCCTTGATCTGCCCCCTCCCACACCCCTTCCCCCACAACAGACTTACCAGCTGGATGCTGCTCTTCTAGCTGCCGGGCTGGCCGTATGCATGCAGCGGCTGTGCATATGCATGCGGCATTTATCAGCAATATTATCGGCCACGTCAGCCAAAAAAAACTGATTGCTAATAATGTCAATTTTCCTTTATTTGTGCCAATATGATATGGACCGAAGCATCAGTGCACCTCTGTTAATTAATACTGTGTTTATTGAATGTAATTATTTACTTTAACATCATATTTTCTCGTATACAACATACTCTTTTTCCCAGAACAAGCTGGTGGAAACTGCAGTGAGCATACTGCTCAGTGGGCACATCTACACAAGACGCTTACTGAGCAGTAGCCTAATAACACTGCAGAGTAGCATGTCAATTAAAAACCATGTTAATACACTACTGTGCAGTGTTATTAAGCTACTATGCAGGAAGTATAAAAAAACAAAACCGTGTGCCAGCACTAGTGTGCTGTAATGCAAGTTACCATGCATTGAATTAGTACTTGGTTAACCAAATACTAAACTTAATGTGTAGTAACTAGGGTGTATTAATGAATGTGTAGCCACCCCCAGTGTGCAGGAAACTGAGGCTAGGTACAGACATTCAAAAAACCTGAGGTGGAATCAATTAAACCTTTGCAGGTTTCTGTAAGGTTAGTTCAGGAGTGAACAGAACACACATTCATCCTGTGGTTGTTGGGGGGCATGCAGACTGCTGCACTGACTGAGGCCAGCAGGTTGAAGGTGCTCCTGCCTGCTAGAGAATGCCTAGATTGGCTTCCAACTCTATGCAGCAGAAGCCTCAGTTCTTCCCCACAACTCGTGCCTGGCTGAAGCTGACAGCTCACCACAGGCAGGAGGCAAGGCTGGGGACAGAGGCTTTGCTGACTCAGCTCTGACACCTCGGGGGGTGGAACACACTGAGAGCTCAGCTAGAGCAGCAGAGCTGGGAGCGAGTGCTAACACAGCTCCCTGTTAGGGGGATTAGCAGGGGCTCCAAAGGTGCCTGGGATACCAGCAGATGGCACCTAACATGAATCAGTAGGGGATCTGGTACAGAAATTTGCACTGGTGTAACCTAAATTAATTAAGTTTTTGCGTGCACATTGATCCAGATCTATCTTAAACTGGGTTCCATCATTTTTAAATCAGTCTGTGTGTGATGCACTTCTGTTCTGTTATGGGTATAGACTAATTTTTGGTCACTTATACCAGTTTATGTGTAATGTCCAGGGATCCTGGTTTTTGCTATTTGAAAATCCCAAATTCTCTGATAAAATGCAAATTCTCTGATTAAAAAAACCCAAATCCATGTTTTTCCTCAATGAAAATGAAACACCACTGTATACATAGGTATCAGTTGAACACAGTATTTTATTTTTGTTTATATTTACAATTTTAAAGCAATTTGAAAGCCTACCAGTACCTCAATCATTATAATAAAATACATTCTAAATACCTATTTAGAGTATTTATTCAAAGTACCTATTTTGGTGTTTGATTTAGGATTTTTTATCATGGAAACTCAGAGCTCCCCCTGCCCTCTTTGTCACCAGGATGCGGATCCAGCTGCCTCTCTGTCCCCCGCTGCTTTGTGGTGCTGAGCACCCTATATGCCGGTGTCCTGTCCCAGCCCTGCTGATGCCCCTCACTCCCAACCTGCAGCCCCCTGGCCCTGCTGGTGCCTTTCACTCACAGCCTGCTGCTCCCCACCCCCAGCATGTAAGGAAGGGAGCGGGGAGTGGGGGCACTGGGGGAGGGGGGCACATGCCCCTCCAGATTTCTGTCCCACAGTGGGGTGCGGGGCTACAGCCAGGCTGGACCAGCTCTAGGTAGGAACTGCCTCCACGGCCCAGTGGGCAAAACCTGTGTGGTAGGGAACACTGTGCTGCCATGGCCACCAAACTGAGGCACTCCCATCCAGCCCAGCAGCAGCAGGGGACACAACTCCAGCACTGCTGCTGTGCCTTACCATGGTGGCATGGCACTCCTGCCTATGCCACATCCCACCCCACACATGCACATGGCGCCCCTGGACTCCACTCCCCCTGCCCCAGCCCCCCAGCTGGAACTCTGCCAACCTGCAAGGAGAAACCCACAGTTTCCCAGTTTTTCTCCTTTAAAGGAGAAAAATCTATGTTTTTCCTCAACAAATGGAAAACCCAGATTCCTGATAATGTCTGTACCTGGCCCAAGAAGTATGATGAGAACAATTTCTGCCATTTATAGGCAAAAGTAAAAGTAACATTTGCACCTGACTCAGAAGGAGCAGAAAAATGGTTCTTTGGTTCACTGGCTTCTGCTACGCAGTTACTTAATACAAGGAAAGATCTGCTTTCCCCTTCATTCTGCCTTTCAGAAACAAGGTGTGTATTAAATTCTGGGGCACATTGTATGTGAGAAAATATGGTAGTTAAAAGTGTTTTATGACTACTGCTGTCACACTCTAAACAATAACTGAGGACAGATAAAACTGTTTCTTATAGCAAATCCCCTCTATTTTTTTGAGGAAAGGAGGAAGAGAAACACAGTTCAGTTTGAAAAGTTCCAGTGTGTTAAAAACTTCATTGGCTTTTCATTAAATGTAATCATTTCTTTTCAAAAAGGTTAAACACTATAATCTTTGTCTGGTTTCCAGACTTTCCTGTTTCTACTAAGCCTCATTAATGATATTTTGAAAAGTAAGGCTCCGTCCTGCAAACAGGTTAATCTTTATCTTTGAGCATATCCAAGCGAGGATCAGTGCATAAATATGTCAAGCTAACTTAATTAAGGTAGTCCATGTGTCAAGGAGTATTTGTCATGGATCATGCATCTTTCAAGGGAAGCTCTTCCTCAGGACTTCTCAAGAAGCATATTTACTCAGTCTTTCTCCTTCAGGGCCCCTGTCCTGGTGTGGCTTTTCAGGGGGCGAGCCTTTGACTTGACACTGGTTCCTCTCTGGCTTCCCCAGTGATTTGTAGCACACCCATTGCAAAGAGCTCCTTCTTTTTGGTCAGTCCTGGGATTACCAAGTCCCAAAATACACCAAAGGCTCTCCAGGTATTTTGGGACTCCCCGGAAAGAGGCCTTTATTTGCTCTCCCTCCTTCAGGATCCCCTGAAGCTGACCTTGGTGTGACTTTGCAGGGGGCAAGCTTCTGCTTTTGAGATGCAGGCTTTTCTCTGTCCCTGACTTTACTGGTGATCCATAGCAGTCTTGCCTCAAAGAGCTCTCCTTCTTTTTGGTTAGCTCCTGGAAAAATCTGATGATTGGCAGTCCCCAGAAGAACTTGGCTGTCCTTTTGACCCATTTAATTCAGGTTGGCTTGAAACACCTGGAAAGCTGCCCCTGGGACCCAGCAATCCTATGATGCTTGGAGGTCCAGGGTCACCAAATGCTCCAGAAAATGCAAAGGGTATGATGATACTTCCCCCCTGTACCTAAGACTACTTTATCAGCACTCCATAGTGCCCGCACTTCAAAGAGCTCTTTTTTTTGGTCAGCTCCCAAGAAGACAAGGTAGACTTGTCTCAAGGTGGGTTTTCTTCTTCAAAGAAGTGGGGGCACAGTGTCAGCATCCCAGATAGTACAGCAGACAGCTCAGTCCCAAACAGTCTTTGTTGTGCCACTGCAGTTCCCACCGTCTTTCCTTGGACCTTACTCTGTCCTTCCTTGAATTATTTCTTTCTCTCCAGCAATCTGCCCTCCCTAGGACTACCCTTCCTCCCCTCAGCTCACTCAGAGCCTCCCTTTCTCTTCTCAGCCCAACCCGTCACCCTTGCAACAAAACTGCCACAAAAGCATAGCATTTAGCACAGGGACTAACAGTCACCCAATAAAATTAAACATAATGCCATGTGGAACTAATCAGGGAGTAGTCTCTGTAGCTTGCTGTCAGGCCTGGACTGCCATCTCCCCGGGGTGAAAAGGGCATCTATAATGTCCTACTTGTGAAACTATTTGCAGCAACTATGTTCATCAACTGTGAGCCTGCCAAAGTGTTCCCCACCAGCCCACAGGCTAAAACTCAGTCCATTTAGCCTCTTTATCACAGCAGTCTTATTTTAATTCTAGTCCGTTGGAGGCCTCTGGGACAGATTTCAAACAAGATGTTTTACCTCACCGCAGAAACCAATTGATTTGTAAGTTTCTCTCTTGGTACATTTTAATGGCAAATGTCTGAGTCTTTTCAGCACTGTGATTCTGTTCTGTTTATGACATAGTTTGATTTTTCAGGTATGAAGTTATATAAATAACATGTTTGCTGATCATCTGAGTTAATGGTGACTCCTGTTCACTTCACAAATATACTGTAACCCAGGATATCACAATATTTTGATTTAAAAGTCAGGGTTTTTCAGAAGAGTTAAACATGAAAACTAGCCTGGAAATAAGCCAGCTGTCCCCCACCTTCCTCAAGTTCTTTGAACCTCAGCCCCCCTTCCCTCCCAACAGGTTTTGCCTGGGATGCAAGCCCCAACTGTTATGTCCCTGAATCATTCCACAGAATTGGGCTTTGGAAAGCTGGGGCTCTACCTGCTAAACATTGGCAAAAATGTGAGCCAAACCCCCTGCAAAAATCCTTTTCTTTTCCTTTCCTATGCATCCTCTCAAAATCAAAGCTCTGACTTCCCTCTGCCATGTTTGCAAGTCCTCAAAAACGTATCTCTCAGTAGCTCCCTCTTTTTTTTCCTGTCAGCTGCATAAAGTCTGCTTAACATAGTAGTCTGTAACTTACTGAGGAAAGAAAGATGTAACTAATTTGTTTTGTATTTATTCTTACCAGTGTAAGCCCAAGCTCTCGCACTCAGCACATCCCTCTCTACACGTAAGTAAAGTTTTTTGCTATATCATCCATTTTGCAATTTTGATTTAGTTCAGCCTGTTTTTTTTTCCCTGCAGGCTTGTAGCTTGACGATAAGATGTGATCTGCTTTTACAGATTTTTTCTTGAGGCAATGGACATATCCACAACCTGACAGCAACTTGTCCCTGCAAAGACATTCCCAATCAGGCTCTGCTTACATGCTCCAAGTGCACAAATAGACTGGTGAAGATGTTCCAGGGACATCACTCCATGGCTTATCTTGAGACCTCATAAGGTCCTACAGCTCCAGTTAAGGCTCTGATATGGTGCTGGGGCCGGGAGAGACATCCAGCTCCCATCTTCTGCAGCACACCACAGCACATTGGAGTCTTCAAGGGCTCGTAATCTAAATAAAATGTGTTTTATTTAGATCATGGTAAGCATTACTGTGCAACTGCTGAGAGAACTTTCTAACTCACAGTAAGACTTATTACAATCTAAATCAAACATGTCCTAAGTGTAAAGTGCTACAGGGTCTTTACAAGTGTATTCCCATGTTTGGAGCATGCAACTAGGAGCAGAGAGGGGAGCTGTTCAGCACCATCTCTGTTGGGACATGCTGTCATTGTGTGGCTATCCCCAGTGAGTGTGTCTGTCCTCTGATTAAGCTGGTGTAATGCAGCAGACGTCAGTAGCATTTGTCCTGATTTACAGTACTGTAAACTGAGAATCAGGCTCCTTTGTGTCTTCTTTGCAAACATATCTTACTCTAGCATAGCATAACAGATACAGAACTAAATGGAGAGGACAGATGTTTGTCACATTATTGCCTGCTTCCCTGAAAATCATCACTATGCATATGTAATGAAGTTATCTTTAATTATATGCTGCTAGTACAGTGTGTATGTGTCTTTATCTTGGGATGTGTGTAGATATAGGATAGTTTGTCTCCATTTTTTTTTCTTCTTGTGGATGACTTTAAATAAATAACTGTAATCTTGGAGTGCAGAGTACGGCCCAGCTGTCTCAACCAGATATCTTATGGATAATGTACATGTCTTTGCTTTTCCTTTTTGTTCAAATAGTGGCTGTATTGGTGCTGAGAATTCGGAAGACACAGACAATGCCAGTGTAGACTTGATCACTCTTACCAATGTTCGGACTTCGAAACCTCGCTACACAACCACCTCCCAGTATGTTGCTTTTATACCTTCCCTTTTTATATGATAACTGTTTGAGAGTTGGTTATGAAGAAAAACATTTTTAAAAGTCCAAGGCTCTGTGGAAAAGGGAATAGGATTGTCCCTGTCCTGGGTGGAGGTATTTGAAAGATGGGAACTATTGTGTTTGCAAGTACTTAGAAAAGTTGTTGAAGTCACCAAGGGCTGAGTCAGTGAAAGAAGATCCCTTGACATCAGTGGCCATGATATGATATCAGGCCTACACAGATCAATGCAGTTGAGTCAGCTTACAGAGCCATTCCAGCTGGCTGTGCAAAATGTAGTCACACAAGCTATTTGTAAGATGAGTAGAGATTTCTGCAGCAGGATGATCTAGTGTAGTTTGATTAAATTCTATTCTGCATGTTCATGTTGGAGTATTTTACTTACTTGTGGCATACACATAGTTAGGCTAGCTATAAATTCATCATGGAATCCTAGGTCATAAAGCTTGGCATTACTGCTGTTTTAGGCTGAGGCAGTGTCACAGTTTTCAGTAGAGCTACGCTACTGGAAAAACGAGTGACACAGCAGTGAAACAGATCTTTAACCTAGAAAAAGATTAACTTAGCAATCGTATTTACCCACCTAGAATCATAAGGCAGGGAGGGATTTTAAGGGTCATCTGGTCTTATCCCCTGTACAAAAACAGGATGTACTGTTCCTAAATCACCCAAGGGCAATGCCTATTCTGACCCTTCTGGAAAACCTATACTGTTCAGCATGTTCTTTGTGGTTTCTTTTCTTCTCTTATCAAATTTTATTCTTCTTTTAAGACATCCAAATCAAACTTCCTTTAATGCAACTGTGGCTGGAACTGTCTTAATCAGTATTTAATCAGTACATGAGGAAAAATAAAGTTAGGTTGACATCTGCATTTTTATTACAATTTATTTAAAATCATTAATTTAATTACAGTAGAAGACTTTTTGTTTTCATTGATTAAAGAAACTCCTAAATATTTTGAAAAATATAGTCTGGTGTTTGAGAATCATTAGGACAAGATCATTCTGTACATATGCATCTTATTGTTGTCCCACTGCTGAACAATTGCTGGGTATTGCAGGTTAATTTCCTGTGGAGGAAAAACAAAGAGCCTAAGTATTTTTTTTTTTACGCTATGCATACCAGTCCTTGAAGAGAGGTAGCCAGATAACATATATATGGATACCCACCAGTGCTACATTCTTAGGCCGCAAGAGTTGACTGTAATTACGGAGGTCCTATTTAACAGAGACCAGATTGTCCTTCTGTTTGCAACTGCTTCCACAAAAGGAAACACATCACAAAATTAACAAGAATACACCATTTCTTCAAAGACCAAACATTGTTTGCATGCTCATAAAAATAACTTTTTATACTGTTTATAACAGCACCTCCTGGTGGCTCCTGGTGTGATAATATGACTTAGTAGGGCTAACGGAAACCTGGTGGGATTCATCCCATGACTGGGCGGTACATTTTGAGGGTTATAGAGGGTTATAGATTGTACAGAAAGGACAGGGTGGGGAAAAAAGGGGGAGGGGTTGCGCTCTATGTCAATGAGCAATATACATCGACCCTCATCAAGACGGAATCCAAGGATGAGGAAGTAGAAGGATTGTGGGTTAGGCTACATGGGGGGCAAGGAGAAAGGGATTTGCTGGTAGGGGTCTGCTACAGACCCCTACATCAAGGGGAAGAAATGGATTCGGGGCTCTTGAGGCAGCTCTCGGAGACCATAAAAGCTAAAGAGGCGGTAGTCATGGGGGACCTAAACTACCCAGACATCTGCTGGGAGACACAGACGGCAAAGTCCCACCGCTCACGCAGGTTTCTAACCTGTGTACAGGAAGTGGGGTCCCACAGGGTTCGGTCCTTGGACCGATACTCTTTAATGTCTTCATCAGTGACTTGGACGAGGGAATGAAATGTACTCTGTCCAAGTTTGCAGATGACACAAAGCTATGGGGAGATGTGGACACGCCGGAGGGCAGGGAACAGCTGCAAGCAGATCTGGACAGGTTGGACAAGTGGGCAGAAAACAACAGAATGCAGTTCAACAAGGAGAAATGCAAAGTGCTGCACCTAGGGAGGAAAAATGTCCAGCACACCTACAGCCTAGGGAATGACCTGCTGGGTAGCATGGAAGTGGAAAGGGATCTGGGAGTCCTAGTGAACTCCAAGATGAACATGAGTCGGCAGTGTGACGAAGCCATCAAAAAAGCCAATGGCACTTTATCGTGCATCAGCAGATGCATGACGAATAGGTCCAAGGAGGTGATACTTCCCCTCTATCGGGCACTGGTCAGATCGCAGTTGGAGTACTGCGTGCAATTCTGGGTGCCGCACTTCAAGAGGGATGCAGATAACCTGGAGAGGGTCCAGAGAAGGGCCACTCGTATGGTTAAGGGCTTGCAGACCAAGCCCTACGAGGAGAGACTAGAAAAACTGGACCTTTTCAGCCTCTGCAAGAGAAAGTTGAGAGGCGACCTTGTGGCTGCCTATAAGTTCATCACGGGGCCACAGAAGGGAATTGGTGAGTATTTATTCACCAAGGCGCCCCCAGGGGTTACAAGAAATAATGGCTACAAGCTAGCAGAGAGCAGATTTAGATTGGACATTAGGAAGAACTTCTTCACAGTTAGAGTGGCCAAGGTCTGGAACAGGCTCCCAAGGGAGGTGGTGCTCTCCCCTACCCTCGGGGTCTTCAAGAGGAGGTTAGATAGGCATCTAGCTGGGGTCATCTAGACCCAGTACTCTTTCCTGCATGTGCAGGGAGTCGGACTCGATGATCTATTGAGGTCCCTTCCGACCCTAACATCTATGAATCTATGAATATCAAAGCAGCCTCTAGAAAAGATGATTGGTACATACCAAAACAGATGCAAAAATAGTCAAATGGTAGAAAATGGACATCCCACACATATTCTATATTATGACTTCGATGCATATGAGTTAGTGCATAAGTATCAAATCTGATATTTGTCACATTTTTCTCTTTGAACTAAATACATTTCTTCTGAAAGTATTTTAGTATCTGTTAAATCTTTTCTCCCTATTCCCTGAAAATTACCAAAGCAATGCACTGTACCTATGTTATCCTTTTCTTTTTTTTTTTCCTTTTATTTTTTTTGTAGCATTCAATTGATAAAATACATTTGATATAGAAATATGCTAAGGAAAAAAGGAGGATGCATGTAATAATGTAACAAATAAATAAATAATTTAAGATAACGATCTGAGTCCATATGCTCTTCTCAGCTCTTTGTTGATATCCATGATGCTAGATTTTCATGCCACATGTTATATTTGTAAGTCTAATAGTATCTGCCCATGTGAAACTTAACCTTATCATGAAGACATTGGGAGCTATAAAGTATCTATGATAATACCTATGGACTACTGTACCTCTGTACTGTACTGTCCATGAGTTATTGGCTATGGCACAGATCTGAAAGAGAGAAAACAAATTATGTTGTTTGCTCTGCAGCTAGGTTCTCAAGGAAGACATAGCTCAGGTGCCTGCTGTGTACTGAAATTCTCAGCCCTGCCTTAGGCTCCCAGTCTACCAACATGTTGCACAGGAGAGTTAGGTGCCTAAAAAACAAGATCCACAAAAATCAGCAGGCTGAGGAAGAAGCTAAAATAATCAGTAGAAATGCTGAGAGGGGAAAGGGTTAAATATTAATTATAAAGCCACAGAGGGAAAGAGAAAATATTTCTTTGGTGTAAAGCCTTGAGCACTCAGCTGGGAGATGGAACTGTCAGGGTTGAATTCATGTTCCAGTGAATATTTACCTATTTACATGAAGTGGAACTGTGTTAACGGGAGGAATTAAGAGAAATCTATGCTTGGAAACCCTGCAGGCCAGTAGTTAGGACCATGTCCCAATAAATGAAAGATTTGGGGTTAAAATCCTTGCTTCAAATTAGGAAAAAAGGAAATTTTAGTCAGGTATCTTCTGTCTCCTGAGGAGTGCTGTAAGTAGCAGGGTATTGGAGGGGAACACTACCACCTCCTCACACCCTTAGCTTTTTGGGGTAGACATGCTCTGTGCTTATCTAAAGGACTAAGCCCAGCAGGTAAAATAGGTGGGAGAAAGGCCTAGCTTATGGGTACTGATGTCACTTATGCATGAGGTAGATGTAAGCAGTTCTGCATGTGCTCAGAGACAGAAATGTACCCTTCAGTGGGACTTCACTTCCTGACATTTATGAGTGTGGGACTCTTGGTTCCAGCTAAATGCAGGTTCTGTGAATCCCAGTGACACCTACACTTCAGACTTGGCCAGGAACAGTAGCAGTTGGGAACCTAAGTTCTGCTTTTGCTGTAGCTTCTTGGCCCCTGGGGAGAGTCCCTAAAAAGATGACTAACATAGGAATCAAGGACCTAACCTCTTTAGGCACTTTTGTTAACCCCACTAGATGCATGTCTGTATCTTTGGTTGCTTAATACCTTTCTAAATATAGTTCTTGAGGTCTGACCCAAGGTCCACTAAGTTATAGATTATGCCAGCTGGCTCATTTTTTGTACAAGTGGGTTCTCATTTTGGATACTTGGTTTCTGAGTTCCCAGCTTTTAATACCTAATGACTGATGTTAAAGGGGCTGAGAATCCACTACTTCTGGGGAGTTCAGAAAGGACATTTCATAGATTTCATAGACATTAGGGTCTGGAAGGGACCTTGTGAGATCATCGAATCCAGCCTCCCTGCCAGAGGCAGGAAGTCTGCAGGGATCAGATGATCCCAGTAAGATAAACTCCAAATGCCTTTTGAATGAGTCTAGAGTAGGTGCTTGCACCACCTCCAGGGGGAGTCTGTTCCAGGCCTTGGAGACACAAACTGTAAAAAAGTTTTTCCTTGTATCGAGTCTGAATCAGCCTTCTAGAAGTGTGTGGCTGTTAGACCTAGTTATCCCTTGGGGAGCCCTGGTGCACAACTGTTCTCCCAGATCCTGATGCACCCCCCTTATATACTTATAGGCAGCCA